TCTTTCTGTTGTTTTGTGTCAAATGAACGACACACACCACACTGTTCTATATAGTCGCGTACCTCAAAGTTCATTCTTGGCCAATAAACTGTTTCACGTGCACTCCGCAGGCAACCTTCGACTCCAACATGCGAAGAATGAATTTTCTGCATAATATCTGCTCTTAGTGTCCTAGGAATCACAGCGCGTTCCACACGAAAGATAATTCCATCCTGGACCGCAAGTTCATCGCGGACATGGAAGTATGGTTGCGCGAGAGCAGGTGTCTTTGACTTGGACTCCGACCAACCTTCCAATATGACTTCCCTGAGAGTTTGTAACGACTCATCTGTGCTAGTTTGCTTCTGTATCTCGTGCAGTCGTGGTTCCGAGATTGGCAAGAACTGTGCCATATTTACAGTCTCTGTATCATCCAGCTGACCTGTTTTGTCCCCGACATCAAGATATGCCCTGCTCAGAGTGTCAGCAAGATACATAGTTTCACCATTCTTATACGTGAGTACAAAGTTGTACTTCTGCAGCCTTAGTAGAAATCGCTGTAAGCGTTTTGGTGCATTTTGTAGAGATTTCTTCAGGATCATCTCTAATGGCTTGTGGTCACTCTGTACAGTTACCGGTCTCCCATATGTAAACTGATGGAATTTTTCCATGCCGAAAACCACTGCTAGTAGTTCTTTTTCGATTTGTGCGTAACGCGTTTCCACATCTGTCAGTGCACGACTTGCATACGCCACAGGTTGACCCATCTGCATTATGGCGGCTCCTAAACCTTTTTCAGAGGCATCACATTGTAGTGTCAGTTCATCTTTTTGGTCATAGTATCTAAGTAAGGGCGACGACGTGACCAATCGTTTGATTTCTTCCACAGCCTTACTGTGGGTTTCCAACCAACACCATTCCACATTTTGTACTGTCAATTTGCGTAGCGGTTCACATCTGTCACTCAATCCTGGAAGGAATTTGCCTAGATAATTCACAAACCCTAGAAAACGTCGGATTCCAGTGACGTCAGTTGGATTGGGCATTTCTAGCACTGCCCGTACTTTTTCTGGATCGGGTTTCAGACCCTCAGCAGTTATGAGATGTCTGCTTAGAGGGACAGTATCACCTCATTACTGATGAAACGGTACCGCCTGTGGTACATCCTCCTAGAAAGGTGCCTATTGCACTTCGCGATAGAGTGAAAACTGAGCTGGAGAGATTGAAAGATTTAGGTGTGTTGACGCCTGTAACTGAACCTACACCATGGGTGTCGAGCATGGTTGTAGTTGTTAAACCCAACAAGCTCATGATTTGTATTGATCCAAAGGATTTGAATAAAGCTCTGAAACGTAGTCACTACCCTCTACCGACAATAGAGGACATACTGCCAAAGCTCCACAATGCTAAAGTCTTTAGTGTCCTTGATGCCCGTAATGGTTTCTGACATGTTGAGCTTGATCGAGAAAGCTCACTACTAACAACTT